CCAGTTTGAGGAGAAAGCAAAATAAAGATGAGCACAAGATTTTAATCTTTCCAGGCTTAGATTTCGTTCCTGGTGCATCTTAATGGAAAGTAATTAAAGAAATAACTATAAGTAGAAAGTGGGGAATGAGCATATCATAGTAAACTGAATGTGAATGAGTCTAAACTCACTTTTTAAAAAAACGTGTTTTTTTTATGAGAGAGACAAAGAGATAGAAATCCCTCACATAGTCCTGATGTCTCTATCCACACCCAGCCTCATCCAGACTGGGTCATAGGCACAGGTGGACAGCGAGTTTCCAGGACAGGAACCCGGGACTTTCCCATGTGGGCCCAGCTGTGTTACCACTGTCCACCACCTGGCCCACACCTCATTCTACCCCTTACTTTATAAAGAGAAAACTGAAGCCAGTTTTTTCACGTTCACAAGAACTCACAGATAACGGGAGTTGGGACCTAATTCATCCAGGTCTCTTTCCACCATGTTTATAAACATAGATATGCTAAGTACATGCTAAAGTATAAAATTATGAGTTTAAAATTTTTCTCTGTACACACATACATAGACATTCACTGAAATTTTAAATAATTTAAAAATTATTGTCTTCCCAGAAATTTGTCTAGCTCATACAATTTATCAAACCTGCAAACAGTTTTATACACATAGAATTGGTTATCATTTTTATCTTTAATTTTAAATTTTGCCTTAGAGAGGCAGACAGAAACAGAGAGAAAGAAACTGAGAAATCACCCCCCAAGGGGGATGTTCATGCCACAATCCCCACTCCTCCAGTCTTCCCTTAGGATTTTGGGCACACACATACATGTGCCCTGCATGATTTTCAAGCCACTGTGTCCAGGACATGAACTGTGGTCAGTCATGTGGGAGTCCAGCTTTTAACCACTATGCAACCTCCTGGCCCCATGAATTGGTTATATTTTCTGTTTTCCCATCTAGTATCTCAATTGTCTTCTGAATTATATCTGCCTACTTAAAGAAACAAAAAAATTTTTCTCGAAGGCAAGTGGTCCTAAGAGTCCTGTACCAAGACAGGTCCCAACTAAAATGTTAACAAAAACATTAAAATATTTAAAATGAGAGATAAAGTAATATCAAGGTTTTTCAGGTCTTCTTCCTAATTTTATTCAAGTCATAATTTCTATGTGAAGGTCTTTTCATGAATGTGTATGTTTTCATAAGTGTGGTGTGTGTGTGCACATTTGTGTCCAAAACAGAGAGGAGAAAGACATCTCTGCTGGGAATTCTTCTATTTATAGGGGAAGAAACATTTCATAAATATTGATGCCAGAAAAGTAGCCCATAGTTCAACTGTGGCTAAGATTAGATTGTTACTAAAAATGCTGGCTAGCATAGGTGTGAGCAGTTCAACTGAGCACGACTGTTGATAAGGAGACAACTGTTGACATAAATAAATGATATTTGGAGTTTATAAATACGTAACTGAAAGTGTAATGGACAATGGGCAGCCGTCTCCTGAGGCAAAATAGCAAATTCTAATGATTGTTCACTGTACACTGAAGGACAGAAATTATCAAAAATGACTTCACTTAAATGAATTCAAGGAAGCGAGGGGGGTTCTGACCATGGCCAAACCCTCCCACGGAAGCTTGTGCCAACACAGCTGTAGGTCAGGCGTCAGCAGCCCTCAGCTGCTACAGAGCGAGGCGTGATGTAAACATGCCATACTTTCAATAACAGCAACAATTCCTCGTTCATGGCAAGGACACAAGGAGTCTGAGAATTTTGTACTAATCAGAACTCTTCCGACTTGAAAGGGAAGTGATGGGGTTTATGTCTAAAAAAGGTAATGTTAAGTGAGATTTACAATTACCCTGCACACACACACATAAAGTATTTCCTGACATCTTCACTGTCAAGGACCCTCCTTTAGTCAGAAAATTCAATGACTGTGAAAATGTTCTTTTATTACCTTGAGGCTAGGACTCCTCCATTATGGAAGGTCCTTACCAAAGGAACACTTTTTTTTTTTTTTTCAATTAGTTTATCTCAGAATTGCAGCCAAACTCCGACATGGTCTGACAAATTACTTGAGAAACCGGTGGTAAGACTGAAATACTAGTAATACCCATACTAGTATTAGTAATTTACAATAGTTGAGGTTTGCCACCTGCCAGGCACTTCTCTGGATACTTTGCATGCCATTCAATTCTTTTAAGAACCTATGGATTGGATATTATTTCCCCCATCTTATAGATGTGTAAACTATGGTATATAGACAACCCAAGAACATTCTAGTTAGTAAATGTCAGGGCTTGAACCTGAACCATAGACAGTCTAGCTACAGAGCCCTGATATTATTTCCACCTTGGCTGTACTAATTTACACTCCTACCAACAGTGTAAGAGGGTTCCCCTTTCACCACAGTCTGGCCAGCACTTATTCTTTATTTTTTAGCTCATACCATTCAGACTGGGGTTAAGTGCTATCTCATTGTGGTTTTGATTTGCCTTTCCCTGAAGATAAGAGATGTTCGACATTTTTTCATATGCATTTTGACTGTTCATATTTCTTCCTCGGAAAGTTGTCTGATGAGTTCATTTGCCCATTTATTAATTGGATTATTCATATTTGTGTTGGTGAATTGCTTCAGTTCTCTGTATATTCTGGTCTTCAACCTCCTATCTGAAGCAAATATTTTCTCCCATTCTGAAGATTGTCTCTTCAAAGTAATTGTTATTTCTTTTGCTATGCAGAAGCTTTTTAGTTCAATGTAATTCCACTTCTCTATTTTTGATATTATTGCCTGTGCAGTATTATTGTAGTATTATTTGTAGTATTGGAGTATTATTTTTTTATTTATTTTTTATATACATTCTATGACATTGTTTAGCTTATGAAGTGAACATTTCAATATGTGAACATAAGAAATCTTTGCCTACTCTAATGTTTTTAAGAATTTCTCCAATATTTTCTGTGAATCGTTTTCTAGTTCAAGGTTTTATATCTAAATATTTGACCCTTTTCGAGTTGATTTTTGTAATAGGGGTCCAGTTTCATTTTTGTGCAGGTAGATATCCAGATCTATCAGCACCATTTGCTAAAACATTTTCTTCTCTCCACTGCATTGTCTTGTACCCTTTGTCAAAGTTCAGTTAGATGTAGGTTTTAGGGTTTATTTCTGAATTCTCTGTTCTGTTCTATTGGTCTATGCATCTATTTTTGTGCCAGTATCATACAGATACTGGTATGAGTTTAAGCCACCAGGTCCGGCACTCAGTGGTCGACTACATGGGAATCCAGCAACATAGCCATTACTAACTGCTGGTCCCAGTATCATACTGTTTTTGATTATCACAGCTTTGTAATATATTTTGAGGTAGGTAGTGAGATGGTTCCTACTTTATTCGGTCTATGGGGTCTTTTATAGTTTCAGACAAATTTGATTATTTTATATATATATGTATATATATATAAAATGATGATTATTTATTATATACATATATATGTATATATATGTGTGTATATATATCCTAAATGTATTCTTTTCTCCTCTTCCTTTTCCTTATGCTCTTTCTCTTCCTCTTCTTTTTCCTTCCCTCACTCCTCTTTTCTTTATAGCCCATCTATTTATGATTAGCATACACACCAGTGATTCGGAATTACTGGTCTAAAGCCCTGATTATAAATTAGAGTTTACCATTTCTAGCAAGTCCAGGGAGGCATTCTAGAATACACTCCCATATTATCTTTGAGAGGAAAAAGGAATAAAGAGCCTGAGAGTATGACAGAGGGCTTTCCTATAATGCCCAGAGCCAGAGCCATCACCAGGCCTTTTGAACTGGGTTTGTACCTTAGGCCTGGACTACACATGGGATAAAGGAAATTTTTCAGAGGCAGAGAATGCACCATATGCAGACTAGGCCTCTCATTTGGAAACAGAGTAGATCACCCCTACATGTACGAAGACTGCTAGCTTATTTGAAAGCTCCAGCACTGTAGACAGTGGGTGAGAAAGTCAAATGGAAAACATCTTCCTTGGAAACGGAAAAAAAATTTATAAGAGACTGGGGAGAGGTCAAGCTCCCTCTGCAGTGTGGCTGCGCTTCATGAGGATATTGTAGATCAATTTAATAAGATGGAATCTACCAGTAAAAATAAAATAATATAAAACACAGAAACTATTAAAGGTTCATCACAGGAAAAATATAAGTCCTGTTTCATGAAACTGTTCAGTTAATTTATACACATATGTATATACATACAACATATGTAGTTATGAATATATGCATGTATAGTATGATGTATATACATATACACATGTATAGTATGTATATATGCATAAACATGTACATCTAGTATATTATAACAGCCATTTCTTTTCATGATAATCCATCAAAAAAGCTTGATACACACTGATTAGAGCCCAGTATACATTGTTTTTGGAAACTGGAAAGCACAGGCCGGAGGGAATAGACTCAGAGCAAATAAGCTTTGGGAAAAAGGATCTAGAATGATCTAGAACACAGGCTGCTGCCTACAGAAGCTTAAAACAACAGACTTAGGAGGAATCTTTGGCAAACAGGAAATTATGACAAGAGAGAACTTTTCTCTCAAGAGAAGGTCAATACAAAAGTTGCTCATGTCATATTGCCTATTTTTCTTTCTTTAAAATATTTTTAGAAACTTATTTCTTCCAAGAGAGAAAGAGAGGAAAGAAAAAGAGGGGCTCCCAGTGGGGTCTTTGCACAGTGATCCCACTGCAACCTCAGACAACCAGGATCACAGACATGCACTGTGCCCCTGGCATGCACAGGGACATCAGGAGTATGAACCCAGGACCTGCCTGTATGCCCTGAGCATTGCAGAGCATTCTGTTACTGCTGTGTCACCAAGGCTGTTGTTGCCTTTTTTGTGTGTGTGCTTCCTTAGGAAGCCCTAAAAAAAAAAAAATCACTGAAAAATGGACCCTGTCTTTGCTAATCCTTATCCTGCTTTTAAACCATTTCTCTACTCTCCAGATCAGAGAGCAGTGGGGGGCACAGCTGGCAGAAATGACAGTATTGCATCAAGTCTGAAGCACACCCAGTAACAGAGGTAAGGGATGGGAGGGAGAGCTCAACTCTGTGTGTTCTTTATACAGCTAATCAGGCTGGTTATTTTGATAATGGATTACTTAGTCTAATCGTCATAATTTTTCATTTTTTTCCTGTGCAGTTGTACAAAAAAAAGTTGTGATGTCATTGGGAAGTATTTCTTCAAGTTCTATCAATGTTGCATGATAAATCTTGCAGCTATGATACACTGAAGTTTGTAGCCACTTAGCCACAGGAGGCTATTGGGCACAAGAAATGTGGCTTGTGCAACTTAGGAACTAATTTTAAATTTAATTACAATAAAAATGTACCTGGTGGCTACTGTATTGGACAGACGTATTCTCCCCTCACTGTGCATTTTTTTTTTGACACTAAATAACCTGGGTATAAATGAATTTTGTAACCATGTGCTGAGTTATCCAAATTTTTTTTATTAATTACATCAACTTTATAAGGAGGACATTTTGCTGGATTGGTTTATCATTATTAAATACTTAAATACTTAACTTTTTAAACACTCTTCTAGCCTCGTATTAATGATTCTCAATGTCCTTAGTTGTTTTGATGCTTATCTTTCCTGAGATGATAGAAAGCCCCAGTGAAATATAGAAGGTTGATATTAAATGCACCTGGTTGCAATGTTAACCTGCATTTAGTCAAATTTAAGAATTCTAGTGCTTCTTTCTAGTAAGTTTGTGAATAAAGAAATCTATTTATTCTGCAATGGAGCAGAAGTATTGGTGTCACAGGCTGCATGAAGTGGAAAAGTAAACGTGCAGGAGTTCTGATCAGCTCAGTTAGGTCATGTCACTGTGTGTATTTAAAATTTTTGGCTTGAATTACTTGTTTTTGTGACCGAGCCTTGCACTGCTTGTCTAGTTGTAGACTATGAGACTGCCAGTTTACATTCAGCCCAGGGAAGAGGAGAAGGACTGTCGAAGATGAGAGTTGGAGTGCTGTGGCTCATCTCTTTATTCACTGTCACTGAGGGTCACACTGGCTTCCTGGAGGTGAGTTGGCATATGCCTATTTTTCTTCTCAGCTTTCTCTCTTGGCTTCTTCTGACCCTTTAAGAATATATTACTCTCCAGGAAACTGAACTGCATAATTTAATGAACTTGGAATCAGAAGCCCTGAATTTTTGTCTCAACATTGTCAGCATCGGACAAGCCATTTCATTGCTTTGGAGCTGAGATGATTCAAGTGAAAAATTAGGACCTTGGATTAAACCATCTTGGAGATTATTTCTCACTCAACCCATTCTCCAGTATGACCTCCTGGGTGCAGATAAAGCATATGGCTTGGCATGAGTAATCCTTAGTTCCTGTCTTCTCTATACTCGTTTTCCACACTTACTCAATACTTTCATCAAGAATCATGTTTTTGTTTTGTTTTGTTTTGTTTTGTTTTTGTTTGTTTTTTGTTTTGTTTTGTTTTGTTTTGTTTTGTTTTGTTTTGTTT